GGTGTTGGTCTCTTCTCCCAAGTAACTAGCGACAGGATGAGAAGCAATGGCCTCAAGTTGCATCAGGGAAGGTTTAGACTGGATATTAGAAAACATTTCTGTACTGAAAGAGTGGTCAGTCATTGGAACAGTCTGCCCAGGGAGGTGGCTGAGTCCCCATCCCTGGAGGTGTTCAAAAAGCTTGTAGATGTGGCACTTCAGGATATGGTTTAGTAGGAATGGTGGTGTTGGGCGGATGGTTGGACTTGATGATCTTAGAGGTCTTTTCCAACCTATGATTCTACGATTCTGTAATTTATTCGTAATTTCGCCAGCATGAGAAAAATCCTGAATCTGTGCGAGAGCTGAAGTTGCAAGAACTGGAGACATTTATCTCGTATTACTGTATAATGAAGTGGAAGGGCAAACCAAGTTAAGAAGCAGAGAGTCATAACAAGAGGAAATGTTAAGAGTAAGACAACGCACCAGAAAAGAAGGGGTATAGCTAACTAAAGAAAAAAAAAACCCCAGAAGTCAAAACACCTTAATAACAGCACCAAAAGCAAACAGAATATACAAGTAAGTGCAACAAATAAAATGGGGGATAAGGGAAAAGAGGTAAGAGGAAGGAGAACTGATCAGCAGATTACTCTGAAGAGAACAGAACAGTTAACCAGAGAAACACAACAGCTACATGTCCACCACCCTATGCTACCCTCAAGAACTTGTATTGACAAGACTTCAATCAGCTTCAGACTGACTGGGCAGGCTCCAGTTACTGCAGCCACAAGCTGCAGGGGAGCTACTGAAGAGACATATCACTTCTCAGCCTTAAAGAACTGTCTTCGTGTACCAGCCTGTGTCATCACAGAAATACGTTACAGCTTCAATTATACTTACATAATTTCCCAGGATCAAAGAAGTCGAGAAAGTGACCAAAGCAAAGCATCCAAAAATCAGGCCAACAATGGTGTTACTGGCACCTTTTTTTTCCGCCTGCAGAAAAGATCACAGCTGTGTAAAGATGGAGCTAAATTCTTGAGGTGAATAACATTCAGGTCTTGTACATTTAACTTCTTTTTTTAATTCTCTATGAGTGCAGTTACAAAGCAATTTCCATTCTCAAAGATAATAGGGGCTCATAAAGTAAACCGCAATTTAAAGGCATGTTGCACTTCTATTTAAGCTGTCTTGAATCAACGGAAAAGCAATGTTCATTCCTCAGTGACTGGAAACACTGTGCTGTTTGCTCTACTACTGAACAGGTGAACAGACTTCATACAGGTGGCTTCAGCTGGCGTGCAATGGAGCTAGCTACAAAGCTTTGATCCCTCACGTGGTGAGAGGGCAGTGAACAGAGAGATGTGTTATCTTCACTCTATCACGCCTCCCCGTAACAAGCACCAGGCAAATTTCTGACTTATCGAACTGGCAAAATACAACTACTTGGGCACAAGCAGTATGTAGGAGTATTTAGAGCAAAAGCAATCTTAACATTTCTTTGTTAATACTTGGGAACAACTTGGTGGTGAGAGAAACCAACTTCTGCTGCAAAGGCACCGTAACCATTTTTTTTCATCCTATATTTAAACACTGTATCCAATAAAAATAAACAGAGATTTTTTTTTTTTTTTTCCATCAAGTTGCTAGGTTAGGAAGTTCAACACAGGAATGATGGCCTAGCATGAATTAACAGAGAGGTAGTTATAAATAAACAGTTATTGAGTGGCTAAGGCACTGAAATGCAAGTCAGGACATGAGCAGAGTTTTAATTTTAGCTCTACTACCAAACCGCTATACAACACAGGCAAAAAACTATTTCACATCCTCAAGAATCCATCTCAGCTTCTGTCTCATATCACTAGTTCGCTGTCTGCTCTGCAGCCACAGGGAAGACGAAATTAGTCCGGGGACAGGATCCAGGTCACCGTTATACACAGTCTAATCTATTCCAGCCGGCATCAGGCTATCACTACCAATTCCCACGGATTAAAAGTCTAACTCGGAGCCTACAGTCAGCCATAAAGGTCCCAGGATGCTCCAGACATGCAAAAAACAATCCAGAGAGCAGCTGGCTAAACCGCGTGCTTACCTCCGCAGGGAAAAAGGGTCCCAGGATTGAATAGCATATCATTGAACTGAAGTTTATAGAAGCCGTCGCGGCCATCGTAAAGAGCTGATCTCTGGTGAGCCTTCTTGGCTCCTCACCGGGTGCTTCTGGCGTTCCATCTTCTTAAAGATCAAAAGAAAAAGGAAGGGAAAAAAGTATGAGGGATGATAGAGGGAAACACAGTTTGCGAGTCAGGTTTGAAAGTTAAAATCCGCACAAGACCTCTGCCCTCCCGGCGCCGGGGAACCCCCGAAGCCGCGCTACCGCTCTGCCTCACGCAGCAGCGCAGAC